CGCTTTATTTTGTTAGAGAGTTTCTCTTTACCACAATCAGTCTTATCTTAGCAGGTACTAGCACCCCCCTCCACCCACCCTCTCGTTTCTTCGGTTTGAGTTTAAGATCGATTTTGGCAAATGACATACCCTCTAAGAAAAGGGAGGGTGGGTGGGCGGGGTTAGTACCTGCTAAGATTAAACTGATTTTGGCAAATGAGAAATTCTCTAAGAAAAGACAGGGTGGGTGGGCGGGGCTAAGTTTAACTTTTTCCACAGAATCCGTTATAAGAAAGCAATAACCCCGCCTACCCACCCCCTCTTCATTCCAGTAATACTCTTAATATTGTTCAGTCATTTACCAAAATTAATCTTATTTTAACAAATACTAGCTCCGCCCACCCGCCCTCTATTTTCTTGCGTGATATGTAATTTGCCACAATTAGTGTTTTCTTAGCAAGTACCAGCACCTCCCACCCACCCTTTATTTTCTTATATGGTACAAATTAAAGAATGAGCCAATTTATTTTATTGATTAGATTAAGAATGCGTCACTCCATTTTCCCAGAACATTTCTGGAATACAACACTGTAATTTTTTAATTTCCATTTTACACTAAATAAAATAAGTCAGCGAAATGAAGGAAAAACGTGGGGGGGCTAAATTTAATTTCTACTAATTTTATGAGCAAGCAGTAGTACCGCCCACCCACCCCTTTTTCGTTCCAGTGTCTACTCTTAATATTGTTCAGTTCAATCTTAGCAAGTTTTATGACCGCCCACCCACCCTTGTTTTCTTCGAGGATATGTCATTTACTAAAATTAATCTTACCCTAACAAGAACTAACTTTGCCACAACTAGTCTTATCTTAGCAGGTACTAGCCCCACCGACCCACTTCCTCTTCGTGAGTTTGAGTTTAATACCGATTTTGGCAAATAACGCATCCCCTGAAAAAAGAGAGGGTGGGTGGGCGGGGCTAGTACCTGCTAAGATAAAACTGAATTTGGCAAATCACATACCCTCTAAGAAAAGAGAGGGTGGGTGGGTGGGGCTAGTATCTCCTTAGATTAAACTAATTTTAGCAAATCACGTACCCTCTAAGAAAACAGAGGGTGGGTGGGCGGGACTAGTACCTGTTAAAATAAGATCGATATTAGCAAAAAAGAGAGGGTGGGTGGGCGAAGCTAGTACAGATCATGTAAACGATTCGTACAGAAAAATAAAACAATATTTTTTTTCCAAGAGACTTCCAAAATCTCACCTACTCTTTATTTTCTTAGAGGGTATCTCATTTACCAAAGTCAATCTTATTTTAGCAAGTACTAGCCCTGCCCACATGCGTTACATAAAATGAATGTGCTGAAGTTCTGTCGAAACAATTTTCGAGCAATTTTTTTTTAATGCAAAGCCTCCTCGGGGGGCCCAAATATATTTCTGTAAGAATGTGAAATCTTCTCAAGGGTCCCAAGTGTCTTTTTAAAAATGTAAAACCTTCTCGGGAGTCCCAACTGTCTTTTGTTTTAATGTAAAACCTTCTTCGGGTTCCCCATTGTCTTTTTTTTAAGAAGATGAAACTTTTTCGGGGCTGCAGACTGCCTTTTATTTTTTAATGTAAAACCTTCTCCGGGTGTCCCAACTGTCATTTCTTTTCTAAAATAGAACCTCTCGAAGTCCCCAAATGTTTTTCTTTCAAATGTAAAACCTTCTCGAGGGTCCCAACTATCTTTTTTTTAATGTGAAACCTCGTGGGTTCCAACTATCTTTTTTAAAAATGTAAATTCTTCTCGGGGACCCCAAGCGTTTTTTTTTTTAATGTAAAACCTTCTTTTTTCTAACTCTGAAACCTTTTCAGGGGTCCCAACTATTTTTTATTTTTTAATGTAAAAGTTTCTCGGGCGTCCCAACTATCATATTTTTCCAATGTGAAACCTTCTCGGGGCCCAACTGTCTTTTTTTTAATGTAAAACCTTCTCGAGGATTCCAAATATCTTTTTTTGATATGAAACCTTCTCGGGGTACTCAAGTGTTTCTTTTAATGTAAAAACTTCTCGGGGGGTCCCAACTGTCTTTTTAAAAATGTAAAACCTTCTCGGGGCCCCAAATGTAATTTTTTTTTAATGTAAAACCTTCTCAGGGGTCCCAACTGTCTTTTCTAAAAATGTAAAACCTTCTCGGGGGCGCCAAATGTCTATTTTTTTATGTAAAATCTTCTCGGGGTATTCAAGTGGTTTTATTTTTTAATGTAAAACCTTCTCAGGGATCGCAACTGCCTTTTTTAAAAATGTAAAACCTTCTCCGGGGTCCCCAAATATTTTTGTTTTAAATGTAAAATCTTCTCGGGGGTCCCAACTGTTTATTTTAAAAATGTAAAACCTTCTCCGGCCCCAAATGTATTTTTTTTTAATGTGAAACCTTCTCGAGAGTCCCAACTGTTTATTTTAAAAATGCAAAACTTTCTCGGGGCCACAAATGTAATTTTTTTTCTATGTAAAACCTTCTCGGGGGTCCCAACTGTCTTTTTTAAAAATGTAAAACCTTCTCGGGGCCCCAAATGTAAATTTTTTTTAATGTAGAACCTTCTCGGGGATCCCAACTGTCTTTTTTAAAAATGTAAAACCTTCTCGGTGTCCCAAATGTATTTTTTTTTAATGTAAAACCTTCTCGGGGGTCCCAACTGTTTATTTTAAAAATGTAAAACCTTCTCGGGGCCCCAAATATAATTTTTTTAATTTGAAACCTTCTCGGGGATCCCAACTGTTTATTTTAAAAATGTAAAACCTTCATGGGGGTCGCAACTGTCTTTTTTAAAAATGTAAAACCTTCTCGGGGCCCCAAATGTAATTTTTTTTTTAATGTAAAACCTTCTCGGGGTCCCAACTGTCTTTTTTAAAAATGTAAAACCTTCTCAGGGGTTCCACATGTTTTTTGTTTAATGTGAAACCTTCTCGAGGTACCCACGTGTTTTTTTTAATGTAAAACCTTGTCAGGGGTCCCAAAGGTCATTTTTTTCCAAAGTGAAACCTTCTCAGGTTGCCCAAATGCTTTTTTTTAATGTCAAACCTTCTCGAGGTACCCACGTGTTTTTTTTAATGTAAAACCTTGTCAGGGGTCCCAAAGGTCATTTTTTTCCAAAGTGAAACCTTCTCAGGTTGCCCAAATGTTTTTTTTTTAATGTCAAACCTTCTCGGGGTACCCACGTGTTTTTTTTAATGTAAAACCTTCTCGGGGGTCCCAACTGTTTATTTTAAAAATGTAAAACCTTCTCGGGGTCCCAAATGTAATTTTTTTAATTTGAAACCTTCTCGGAGATCCCAACTGTTCATTTTAAAAATTTAAAACCTCCTCGGGGGTCGCAACTGTCTTTTTTAAAAATGTAAAGTTTTCTCGGGGCCCCAAATGTAATTTTTTTTTAATGTAAAACCTTCTCGGGGTCCCAACTGTCTTTTTTAAAAATGTAAAACCTCCTCAGGGGTTCCAAATGTTTTTTGTTTAATGTGAAACCTTCTCGAGGTACCCACGTGTTTTTTTTAATGTAAAACCTTGTCAGGGGTCCCAAAGGTCATTTTTTTCCAAAGTGAAACCTTCTCAGGTTGTCCAAATGTTTTTTTTTTAATGTCAAACCTTCTCGGGGTACCCACGTGTTTTTTTAATGTAAAACCTTGTCAGGGGTCCCAAAGGTGATTTTTTTCCAAAGCGAAACCTTCTCAGGTTGCCCAAATGTTTTTTTTTTAATGTCAAACCTTCTCGGGGTACCCACGTGTTTTTTTTTAATGTAAAACCTTCTCGGGGGTCCCAACTGTTTATTTTAAAAATGTAAAACCTTCTCGGGGCCCCAAATGTAATTTTTTTAATTTGAAACCTTCTCGGGGATCCCAAGTGTTTATTTTAAAAATGTAAAACCTTCTCGGGGGTCGCAACTGTCTTTTTTAAAAATGTAAAACCTTCTCGGGGCCCCAAATGTAATTTTTTTTAATGTAAAACCTTCTCGGGGTCCCAACTGTCTTTTTTAAAAATGCAAAACCTCCTCAGGGGTTCCAAATGTTTTTTGTTTAATGTGAAACCTTCTCGAGGTACCCACGTGTTTTTTTTAATGTAAAACTTGTCAGGGGTCCCAAAGGTCATTTTTTTCCAAAGTGAAACCTTCTCAGGTTGCCCAAATGTTTTTTTTTTAATGTCAAACCTTCTCGGGGTACCCACGTGTTTTTTTTAATGTAAAACCTTGTCAGGGGTCCCAAAGGTCATTTTTTTCCAAAGTGAAACCTTCTCAGGTTGCCCAAATGTTTTTTTTTTAATGTCAAACCTTCTCGGGATACCCACGTGTTTTTTTTTTAATGTAAAACCTTCTCGGGGGTCCCGACTGTTTATTTTAAAAATGTAGAACCTTCTCGGGGCCCCAAATGTAATTTTTTTAAAGTGAAACCTTCTCGGGGGTCCCAACTGTGTTTTTTAAAAATGTAAAACCTTCTCAGGGGTTGCAAATGTTTTTTTTTAATGTGAAACCTTCTCGGGGTACTCACGTGTTTTTTTTTTTTTAATGTAAAACCTTCTCGGGGGTCCCAACGGTCATTTTTTTCCAAAGTGAAACCTTGTCAGGATGCCCAAATGTCTTTGTTTTAAATGTCAAACCTTTTTACATTACACTGTGAATAGTACCTTCTATATAGTTTTTACTCCATAGAGTAAAACTATCTATCACGAAAAAGTAAAATTTCCCAAAAAATCAAATTTTAAAATTTTTAAGAGAATCAGTATTTGTTGGACTATATTTCAGAAGCTCGCGAAGTTCTATTCAAATAACTTTCGACCAATTTTTCAGCCTAAAATCCGCTCTTTAATAATAAGTTTATTTGAAGATTACGGCTTCTCAGCCAAATCCAAAAGGGTTTAGTTTTTGCGAGGCTCTCACGCACCTTAAAAACTTAATTAAAACCGTGTTTCGCCCGAACTTCCTCGATCCCAAGATTATGATTCAAACTTTCTCAATTAAAGTTTCGATTTGACTGTGTATAACTGCTTCCAGGTGAACGAAGCCTTTGAAGTCCTGAAACGCCGTACCTGCAACAACCCGGGTCAACGACTCCCCAAAGTGGAGATCCTGCGAAGCGCCATCGAGTACATCGAGTACCTGGAGGAGATCCTCCAGGGCGCCAAGTCGCCGGCCGACACCGAGAACATCATCTCCGCCGCCCCCAATTACGTAGTAAGTGGCAGTTTATTTTTCGCGAGATTTGTTTGTCGTTATTGAAATTTAATTACCCCACTCGGAATTACGCTACCGATCCCACAATAGGCAACAGTAGTCGACTTCGGCGCGATTTATTTTATTTATTAATGTTGATTGCTGTTGGAAGTTCTGTTTTAATTAATGTTTAGGAACAATGGGACCCATATTAAGGGAACAATGGGCCATTTGAGCCTCGAAACATCTTTAGCGACACACAAAATCGATAGCTGGGGGAGAAATGAGACAAGAAGTGTAATTGTTTCGAACGCGCTTCGGGAGCCGGTTTTTGGGGGAAAAATTGGGTTTGGCTTGACGGGGTTTAAAAGAGGCGAAGTAAATTTGGAAGTTTGGTAAATAAAAAGGATTAGGCGGGAGATCGATTGTCGGATAGGGATAGGGAGTTTTTTTTTTGTTATCTGGTGTTGGTTTTGCTCGAAACGTATCAGTTTTGACGTTTTTACTGAGTGCAAAAATTATCTGATAAAGTTATCTTATCAGTGACAGGTTTGCGGTTTTTGTTTACGGTGTACCAGGTTTGAGTTATAGTCAGGTTGGCCGAGCGGTCTAAGGCGCCAGATTTAAGCTCTGGTTCTCGAAAGAGAGCGTGGGTTCGAACCCCACACCTGACAGTTGTGGTTTTATTTTTTTTGCAATTTCAGAGCCGGGCTAAATTTACCCTGCTTTGTTTTTCCCCCTTTCACATTTTCCTTTCGATTTCTGACCTCTCCTATTAATGCGGCCATCCGTGTGGAAATCGGGATTTTCCGCTAGGCGAAATTATTCAATCGATCAAATTTTTTTCGGGGGAGTTTGTTCGTCACATAATGAAGTATCGACCTCCATCGAGAGCCCGCCCGAGGCGATTATGAGTTGGAAATTTTTTCACGGCACAAAAAGCGAAACCCAGTTCTTGCCCCTCATTACCGACGCTGATTTCCGACGTCGTTGATGCGAACGGACAACAGCGGGGGTGTCAAGGTGAACCTTGTGGAGCACCAGGCGTCAGACCGTAATTAATCGGAATAAAATGTTTAGAATTTCTAGAATTGAGTAAATTTTTGAAATTTCCAGAAGTTCCAGATTTTCTAAATATCAGTCTTCTGATATGGCCGAATTAAACATTTTCCGCAGTTTTCAAGATTTCTAGGTCTTCCAGATTTTTCACACTTTCTAGATATTTCCAGATTTTCTAAAATTAATAGACCTCAAGAGTCTTTAAAGCTTTGAAATTTTTGGAATCTCTGGAGTCTTTAGAATCTTTGAGATGTATAAGACAATAATTAGGCTGTTCAAGACCCCTAATACTTGTAGGATTGATAGCAATTAAAAGAAGCATTCTTAAGATTTTTACTATTTTTAGATTTTTAGGATTTTTGTTTTGTTTAAAGTCTTTGGAATCTTTAAAATATTTGTCATGTTAAGTGTTCATGCGTTTTTTACAAATTATAGAATCTTTGGAATATTTGGAACAGAATTTTAAAAACCTTTTCAACGTTTGAGTCCATTGAGTATTTAGAATTTTTAGAGTTTTCAGAGTCCTTAGAGTCTTAACAGTCTTTGGGAATTTTCGATACTTCAGAATTACTAGAAATTTTATAAAGTTTAGAATTTTTATAATTTCTAGGAACATTAATACTTCCAAGATCTTTACAATTTTTAAGATTTTGTTGGATGTTTCTTCTATAACCTAAAACTTTAGTTTATTTAGCGTCTTTGGTGCCTTGACTATTATTTTTGTGTATGTAAACTTCAAGATTTTTAGAAATTTTGAAAGGTCTGAAACCTTTTAAATATTTCAAACATTTGGAAACTTTGGAATTTTTAGAATATCTACAATCTTAAGATCGTGTAAACTTTTGAAATTTTGAGGTTCAAATTTTTTTTTCCTTTTAATTTTTAGGAATTTTTAAAAGGAAAATTTTGAAAATTAAAGGAAGCATTGTTCAGATTTTTATGATTTTTTTTTAGTCATGTTAAGAGTCCAAATTTTTGGAAAAAAATCAAAATTATAAAGCAACATTTTGCAATTTAATTTTAAATCTGCCTAGCTGAATGCTTTAAAATTTTGCAGATGTTTTAAATTTATAGCAAGCAAAAGAATTTTTTATATATATTCGCTTATCCGCTCCAAAAAATTGATGACGCCATCTCAAATTTTTGCCGGAGAAATACTATCTAAAATATGCAAAATATGATGAGTTTAAACTTGTGATTTATTACTGCATTCATATTTTTTAGATTTGCTTAAAAAAATTAATGACTGAGTTGTTAAAAAATAAACATCCAATCAGATGTAGGAATTTAACTCGTTACTATCGAAATTTACAATTTAACACCTTTTAAATTATTTATCAAGTTTTTACAAGTTTAACAGGGCGAAAATCAGTCTTTTCTTAGCAAATACTCGTCCCACCCACCCACCTTCTATTTTCTTGGAAAGTATGTGATTTGCCAAAATCAATCTTGTCTTAGCAGGTACTAGCCCCGCCCACCCACCCTCTATTTTATTGGAAAGTATGTGATTTGCCAAAATCAGTCTTATCTTAGCAAAGTACTAGCCCCGCCCACCCACCCTCTATTTTATTGGAAAGTATGTGATTTGCAAAAATCAGCCTTATCTTAGCAAGTACTAGCCCCGCCCACCCACCCTCTATTTTCTTGGGAGGTACGTGATTTGCCAAAATCAGTCTTATCACAGCAAGGACTAGCCCCGCCCGCCCACCCTCTATTTTCTTGGAAAGTACGTAATTTGCCAAAATGTGTCTGCTATTAGCAAGTACTAGCCCCACTCATCCACCCTTTATTTTCTCAAAGGATAGTACTTGCTACTAATTGCTAATATAAGTCTTATTTTGGCAAATCACATATATTCCAAGAAAATAAAGGGTGGGTGGGCGGGGCTAGTACTTGTTGAGCTAAGACTGATTTTGGCAAATCACATACCTTCCAAGAAAATAGAGGGTGGGTGGGTGGGGCTAGTACTTGTTAATACAAGATTTATTTCGGCAAATGACATATCTTCTGAGAAAATAGGGGGCTGGTGGGCGGACCAAATACTTGTAAAGATAAAACTGATTTTGCCTCTATTAACTTTGTACAAACTTGTAAAATTTAGAGGTGTCATAATACAAATTTACATAGTAACGAGTTAAATTTCTAAATTCACCCGAAACATGCAAAATATCATTTTTTTTTACGTGTGAGTTATCATTGCATTCATATTTTTTAGATTTGTTTGTACAGGTGACTCAAAAAAATTAATGAATGTTCAATTTATTTTATTGATTACGTCTGGAATGGCTCACTCCATTTTTCAGATTTTTCGAAGTCACAAAAAGACCACAATTTCCACATTTTTCAAAATTTCTAAAATTATCAGGCTCCAGTTATACCAGAATTTTGAAATTCAATATTTTCCAATATTTTCAAGATTTCTAGGTCTACGACATTTTTCCACACTTTCCTATTTTTTCAGATTTTCTAAAATTTATATATCTCAGGAGTCTAAATCTTTGGAAGATTTGGATTTCTGGAAACTTTGCAGTCTCCAAGATTTATAAAATAATAATAATAATAGGGTGTTCAAGGCCTTCAGTGCTTTTAGGATTTATAGAAGTTAAAGATTTTTGGTTTGTTGATTAAGTTCCAGATTTTCTAAATGTTATAAAAATATCAGTCTTGTGATACGCCATAATTCAACATTTTACTCAGTTTTCAAGACTCCTAGCTCTTCCAGATTTTTCACACTATCTAAATATTTTCAGATTTTCTAAAATTAATAGACTCCAAGAGTCTTTAAATCTTTGAAATTTTTGGAATCTCTGAAATCTTTAGAATCTGTGAGATGTATAGGATAATAATTAGGATGTTTAAGAACCCTAATACTTGGAGGATTCATAAAAATTAAACGAAGAATTTTTCAGCTTTTTACGATTTTTAGATTTTTAGGATTTTTGTTTTGTTTAGAATCTTAGGAATCTTTAAAATTTTTGTCATGTTAAGAGTTGATGCGTTTTTTTACAAATTATAGAATCTTTGAAATATTTGGAAGAGAATTTTAAAAACCTTTTTAACGTTTGAGTCCTTGGAGTATTTAGAATCTTTAGAGTTTTCAGAGTCCTTAGAGTCTTAACAGTCTTTGGGAATTTTGGATACTTCAGAGTTACTAGAAATTTTATAAAGTTTATAATTTTTAGCGTCTTTGGTGCCTTTACTATTATTCTAGTGTATGAAAACTTTAAGATTTTTAGAATTTTTGAAAGGTTTGAAACCTTTTAAATATTTCAAACATTTGGAAACTTTGGATTTGTTAGAATTTCTGCAATCTTAAAATTGTGTAAACTTTTGCAATTTTGAGATTCAATATTTTTTTATTTTCTTTTAATTTTTGGGAATTTTCGTAACTTGCAAGATTTTCAAAATTTCCAGAATGTTCAGATTTTCCAAATTAGCCCAATTTTTCAGATTTTACGAAGTACACAAAATAACTAGAATTTCCATTTTCCAAAAGTTCTAAAATTATCTGGCTCCAGTTATACCACAATTTTGAAATTCAACCTTTTCCAATATTTTCAAGATTTCTAGGTCTACCACATTTTCCCACACTTTCTAATTTTTTTCAGATTTTCTAAAATTTATAGATCTCAAGAGTCTAAATCTTTGGAATTTTTGGAATCTCTGGAATCTTTACAGTCTCCAAGATTTATAAAATAAAAATTAGGGTGTTCAAGGCCTTCAGTGCTTTTAGGATTTATAAAAATTAAACAAAGCATTTTTCCGATCTTTACGATTTTTAGTCTTTGGAATTTTTAAAATCTTTGGTATTTTAAGAGTTTACGCGATTTTTACAAGTTTTAGAATCCTTGCCCTTTTGGAATTTCTCTAGAACCTTTAGAATATTTCAAGTATTCGAAACAGAATTTTAATTTTGACTCCTTAAAATCCTTAGAGTCTTTAGACCCTTTAGAGCCTTTCCA